ATATATATATATATATATATCTGTGTTGGAGTCTCATTCTGCCACCCAGGCTGGAGTGCAGTGGCACACTCACAGTCACTGCAGCCTGGACCTGCTGGGCTCAGGCGATCCTTCCGCCTCAGCCTTCCAAGTAGCTGGAACTACAGGCATGTGCTATCACACTCGGCTTATTTATTTATATATTTAATTTATTGTAGAGACGAGCCTCACCAAGTGTCCCAGGCTGGTCTCAAACCCCTGAGCTCAGGCAGTTTTCTCACCTCGACCTCCAAAGTGCTGGTATTACAGGTTTGAGCTACCGCTCCCGGTCCCTGATATTTTTAATTAGGGAGAGTGACCATTTTTCACGTATTTGGGGGCCATTTGTATTCTTCTCTTGAGCTGAGCCTGTTCCTCTGTTCCTCTGCCTATAGGCTGACTTCCTCCTCGTGACTTACAGGTCCTTTGTATACTGTGGCGACTCATCCTTGTAATAGACTTTCTCGGTCACTTATCTGTTAATTTTGTTTATGTTGTCCCATATAAAAAGTTTCAGTCTCACAATGTCCCACGAGTGTTTCTTCCTTTGACTTCTGGGTTTCATGTTACGCTTAGAATTTCTCTCCCGGAGATGATTCAGCTGCTGCCTCAGACATTCTGAGAAACGATGGCCACACACTTGCGGTGAAAGTAAAACATGCTTATTCAAAAGAAAATGCTTATTTTAAACACAAGAACTATCACCCCAAGCATTTATTTAAATATTAATAGATATGAGTAAAAATTTCAAATGGTATAACAAGAATAACAGCTTTATATTCACAGATGGTCAGATGCTGACAAACGAGAGAAGAGACCTCTGTGCGCAGAGCTCTGGCTGTTAGGAGAATGCGTACGAAGGCTTAAGGAACGGTCTATTTATAGGTTTTGGTGGAGCCATAATCCCCAATTTCCTACTGGCTCCCAATGTTGCTTGAGAACCATGTGAGGCTGAGCTGGTTCCAATCACGCTGGAGGATTTAGTTTTGGAAGCTATCTTTCTGCATGTGGTAGATCCCCTAAAAAGTGACAAGGAAAAGAAAACCAAAATGTTAAATAAAAACAAAAGTGAGCGGCCTTCTTTCCCCTAACCTGCACAGAGCTACAGTACGAATTTCCCTGGTCTCATGTGGCTCTGCACCTTTTCTGCCGATAAACTCCCTGGGGAAGGGAAGTTTCCTCTGTGACTTGAGGAACCCAGGACTGCTGGCTTCATGTGGATTTGTCCTGAGTTGGTCCTTCCCAAATGTCAACTGTTTCTTAGCTTTGAAACTTGTGACCAGCCGATGGCCCCTCTCTCCATTCACACCTTCCACAGCCCACAACCAGAGCCCCTCCCACGACGACAGAGCTGAAATCCACATACCTGGTTTCATTCAGACCAGTTAAAGGAAGTGAAAAACCCTTGCTGTAAAGCCCTAAGTCCCTGGCGCCCAGACACCCCTGGACTGACTGGCCTTGCTGTCTACAGCAAGGCAATTTGTGGGCACACGTGTGTGTGGGCGGGGCTGGGTGCCAGGAGGAACAGGGCAGGGACGGGAAGGCTGCAGATGTGGCTCCCTGGGAAGCGTCAGCGTGGCCTCATCCCCTGGTGGGCAGGGCCAAGTCCAGAGCTCACTGGCTCACTGGCCTCCACCTAGAGATCTGCCCGCCTTCCCCCTCCCACTCACAGCTCAGCTGAAGCCTATTACAAAGTCCTTCCAGCATCTCACTTTCCTTGAGGACCTCAAGGTAACAGCCCTTCTCCCACTCCCAAATGAAACAAAAAGCAACCCCCCACACCAGGGTCAGCATGTTTACAGTGGTGACCGGTGTCGCCCATAGGAGCCTTTCCTGCTGCTTTGTAACCAGGCCTGACATCAATCCCGCAGCACCGGGGTGTACAAGTGGCCTCCTGTTTTTGAATTTAGGGTCTCCTGTACCAGGGCCACAGCCGGTGGGTAATGACAGTCTGGTAGGGCTTTGTGATGTGACAGTAGCTTTTCAACATTTGAAAACTTTGGCTCCAGGGCAGTTTTACTGCAGAACTGGCAAAGATCTGTGCAATGGCAGAGGTGCAGCCTGAAGTTTTCCTCTGCTGATTTCCTGCTGAGAAATTAAGCCCCGAGCTGCTGTTGATGTTGATTTACAGAAGGAATCTGCCAACAGCAGCCTGCCTTTCACCTGGCCATCCATCTCCTCCCACTCAGAGGGAACACAACTGGCTCATTGTGTGCAGTTCTGAAGATGAAAACCTCGCAGGGCAGGGCGGAGAGGTGAGGTCTCTGGCCAGGAGCCAGGACAATTCTTCCCAGCCAGGGCAGCAGGCTGGGTTGGTGGAATGGAGAAGGGAGCAGAGACCAAGAGACTGCTCCTGGGGAAAACCAAGTGACACAAGTGACTGGCTTAAGCCAGTGGGGATGAAAAAAGAATCCCATCTTCCACACAGGCTAACTGAAAACCAGCGTGGGAACTGGTACTGGCTTTGAACAAATGTGAGTTTTATTGCTTCTTATTAGATTAGCTTCTAGGCGACACAGCAAAGTGCTTCATTCTTATAAACAAAAGCTGTGAAAATCAAACAGGGGAGCCAATAGCAGCGAACATTAAAATATGGCTTGCTTTGTTCTAATGAGCAAAAATGAGACGGGAGAGCACGCACATGCTTAAGGCATCTCCACAGACGGCCTGCAGAAGTGAAAGTGCTCTGGGTGGGCGTGGGCAGGCCAGCGTCCAGTCTGACCTTTGAAACTGAGACCAGGCAGGCCCGGTCTCAGATAAGACCTCCCCAGGCTGGGCCTCAGCTTCCTCTCATACACCCAGGGAGCAGGACCAGATGCCTTTTAAGGTCTTGAGCTCTGTATGAGTTACTGAGGAAATGAGCATTTCCCAAAGCGGAGGACTAAATGACGGAAATAAGAAAATGTCCTCATTGAAGAACATACACTGACCACTTACGCACTAGAAACCACAAGATTAAACTAACATTTTACTAATGCCTTTAATTTCTGTACTCTGGCAGGAGGATTAGCACATACAAGATGCTTGTTTATGGTCTTCACAAGAAAATGACAATTTGGTAATATCTGCCATCCTCTCTCTCTTCCCCCAATTTTTATTACCCAGAAGGAAAAGAGGCCAAAAAACTGCAAAAGCAAACACCACAGCCTGCAAAAGTTGACTGTGGGCTTATTTTTTGTTTTGCTTCCTTTCTCTGGTAATCAATTCTGTTACAATATGCAGTAACTTTGGGGCCCCATTCTCAAAAGTAATTCGGTGGTTTCCATTCTGCCAGGCCTTACCTACTGGGCAGAAGGCAGAGGGTGCCCTGGCAGAAGCAGACAAAAGGGGCTGTTGGAAACTATGTAATTAGAAGAAATGAGATCACTGCCAAGACCCCACGATGCTATCTTCATTCTTCCCCTGGTGAGCAGAAAGTGTCCAGTGCAGACAGGCCCCAGAACAGAGGGCCAAGCAACCGTGGGAAGGGAAGAGAGAAGCCATTTATATGGTCCCTAAAGAGGCCTGGCCTCACGGAACTTTTGACTTTTCTGCTTTGGTTGCTTCTCTCCTGATTCAAAGAATGGCAGGGAGCATGCACATGCCTTGAGGTGGAGGTTACCAGAATCCTGTGGCAACAAGTGTAGTATCGTCAAGTACTGATTGAGTCACAGGAGCCATGAAGACACAAAACCCTTTGTTATTTATTCGGCTAGTGTATGAATTATTGTATTTTAGCTGGAAAGTCTCTTAAGAAGATCAGTTATCCAAAACAAGCAAACATCTAAGGTAAGGTCAAAATTGGAAAAGTTTTTGCAAACTAAAACACTCTGGTCATAATCAACTTAGTTAGGAACAAGCATCTGAGAAACCTGAAGCAAATGTGTTTGTTCTGGATCAAACCCTAGCCATCACTCCATTACCTGGAGAGGCAATATTTAATAGCGGCTCATTGTAGGAGCTGCTTCGAAGGAAGCCAGAGCAGTTTTACTCCTGTCCTTTTCCCACTTGTACCCCTGCCTTGCATAAAACGTCACTGTACGTACCCTTTTGCCTTGGAACCACCACAACCAGTTTTTCTCCTTTTGGCTTTCTGGGAGGCTGGCATCTTTCTCCTTTTTCTTTCGTTTCTGGCTTTATTCGCAAAGTAGTGAGAAGACACAGGGATGTCCTCATTGAGTTCCTCAGGGGCATTTCTCCCGGGGCCTCGGTTGCTGGCCAAGCTTGTCCCTGGGGAGCTGTCCTCAGCTGTGAATGGAAGATGCAAATGTTTCAGGTGCTAGCAAACTGGTCCAAGAGTTTCTGTTGCCAGGTTGGAGTGCAGTGGCATGCTCACGGCACCGTAATCTCGACCTGCTGGGCTCAAGTGATCCTTCTGCCTCAGCCTTCCAAGTAGCTGGGACCACAGGCATGTGCCACCATGCCTGGCTAAATTATTTATTATTTATTTATTGTAGAGACAAGGTCTCGCCAAGTTGCCTGGGATGATTTCGAACCCGCGGGCTCAGGCGATTCATTCGCCTCGGCCTCCCAAAGTGCTGGGGTTACAGGCTGAGCCACTGAGCCTGGCCTTACTTCCATTTTTTGAGTCAGATTCTCATTCTCGCCCAGGATAGAGTGCAGTGGCACAATCATGACCACCACTCTCGACCTGCTGGACTCAGGTGATCCTTCAGTCTCAGACTTTCTAGTAGCTAAAACTATAGGCGCATGCCACCACATCTGGCTAATTTTTCTTGATTTATTGTAGAGACAAGGTTTCGCTAAGTTGTCCAGGCTAGTCTCAAACCCGTGGGCTCAGGCAATCCTCTCACCTCGGCCTCCCATAGTGCTGGGATTACAGGTGTGAGCCACCGTGCCCAGCCTGGCAATTCATTTTTAATGAAAGGGAATCAGAATTCGTTAAAAAAAAAAAAAGCTGTGATAGTCTTTGTCTTACCTAAAGATACCAGGTTTAGCTCATACTCCGTGGTGTATGGCCTGTGCCCCTGCTCCTGATTGGGCAGTTAATCTTGGTGAGCACTTTAAAGCTATATAGATGTCAGGCGATTTTACTTATCATAAAAAAATAAAAAGGTAAGACACGGTGGCACAAGCCTGTAATCCCAGCACCGGGAGGTTGAGGCGAGAGGACTGCCTGAGTCCAAGGGTTCGAGACCAGCCCAGGCAACTTGGCAAGACCTCATCTCTATAATAAATCAAAAATTAGCTGAGAGTGGTAGCATGTGCCTGTAGTTCCAGCTACTTGGAAGACTGAGGTGGAAGGTCACTGGAGCCCAGCAGGTCGAGGCTGTGGTGGCCATGAGCGTGCCACTGCACTCCAGCCTGAGTGACAGAGTGAGACTGCAACTCAAAAAAATAAATAATAATAAAAGGTGAAGATGAGGGAGACAAACTATGTTCTGTTCCTTATCTTTGAACAATAGTGTCTCAGGAAATGAGCATAACATAATTCTAGGCCACATTTTATTCTTCATAGACAAAAACCATGTCTTTGCATGATGGCTGCAAATACTTCACATATTATGCAGGAAGTGAGTCTGTATGGAAGTACACACGTATGGAGAAAGTCATCATTTCCACAACGATGCATCCCAAGGCACCCCAAAAGCAAGAAACCTCCATGCAGGTGGGTCACAGGATGCCATTGCGCAGGAGCGGCAGGGAGGGCACAGGATGCCATTGTGGCTGGTCCAACACTGGCTCTCCCAGGCAAGGAATGCAGCTCAGGGAGAAGAGCTCCACCATCCTAGTCATGTGACTCCGGAAAATGGAAAAGCCTCACTCTCCTCATCTGCAAAATGGGTGTTGTAGGGACTAAATGACATAAAATACGCAAAGCTCTCGGCACAGAGGTGATTGTCACACAGTCAAGTGCTTCTGCAGAGCAGTCTTGTCCAATGCAAAAGCCCCTCCCAAACAATTTACCAAACAAACATTAGGTTCTTACCAGGAAATTGTCAAATGTATTCAAAGCAAGGATTTTTTTTTTTGAGTCAGAGTCTCACTCTGTCACCCAGGCCACCACAGCCTCAAACTCCTGGTCTCAAGCTATTCTCCTGCGTCAGTCTTCCAAGGAGCTGGGACTGCAGGTGTATGTCACCATAATCAGCTTATTTTTTGATCATTTGTAGAGATGAAGCCTTGCTATGTTGCCTAGGCTGGCCCTAAACTCCTGGTCTCAAGCAATCCTCTTGTCTCAGTCTCCCAAAGTGTTAGGATTACAGGCATGAGCCACCATACCCAGTCCAAAGCAAGGCTTTTAATGGAATCATTACCATACAGAACTGATGAGAGTCCTACTTTCTGACATTTTGTTAAAGGATAAAAAGCAATGTGGAAAGAGAGAGAGAGAAAACACAACATACATGCTCACTTATGTCTTACCCTGCTCACCATTTCTGTTAGCCTTGGGAAGACCCCTATGATGGCCTGTTCTAGAAACAGGAAGACATTGAACTGGGTTTGTCTGTTGTGTCTTACAGCATAGTAATCCGTTAGTAGAAGGCAGAAGACCTCTGCACTTTTAACATCTCCTACAAAATACTGCTTTGTTCTCAATTTCCTGAGTCAATGATTTCTGTAGCTCTAATAACGATGAGGCTCCTATGAGAGGTGCCACAGGACAGGCCTGATGTGACCTCTGGGAACATCCAATGATGATGCACTCACTCGGGCAGTTTCTTTCAGTGACTAATAATAATAGCATTTGAGTCACATGGTCTTTTCTCCCAAACATTTAAACACCACTCTTAAATTTTATCTTTAGACATGCTTGTCAGATAACACGCTCCTTCCTTAGCTGAGGAAACTGAAGCACAAAGAGGTTACTGGTGTCCTGCCAAGGATCACACAGGGTGAGAAAGTGGCAATCTAGGATTGGCCTCCAGGGCTCTGATTCCTCGGGCACTTGCTTTACCAGAGCCGGTAACCTCTGGCTCCGCCTTGGGATCCCAGTGGTGACTTAAGTAAGCAGCACGCAGGGGCCTAAGCACTAGTGTCTGCTCAGAAGTGCCTGACACACCAGTGGGGGCTGCTCCAACGACTTGGACTTCAGTGCCACTGGGTGAAAGAAGCATGAACCCAACCCAGAAACCACATCATTCTAATCCAGTGCGATGAGCGGCTTAACACTAAAGCATGTTTTCGAGAACACACACTTGGCTGCATACCGACCTGGCAGTGTCCGTGCAGAGTACTTCTGTAATACTGAAATCACTTCTGCACCATATTTTTCCAGTTTGTCTTCAGTAACACCATCAATTTGAAGCAAAACCTCAGGATCGGAAGATAAAGATTCTGTGCATGGGCAGAAAATCAGGAAATTAAATTACCACCCATAGAAAACCCATTCACTTCATGCTCCTTCACGCATTCAGCACATGTCTGTTAAGTGCCAGCAAAATGTAGGGCACTGGGCACATGGGCCAGTTCTCCAAAAGGCAAAGTTAGCACCTCAGAGGCAGTAGATGGGCCCAGAGGGCAGGAACCCATCATGACTCTAGCAGCAAAGGCACACAAGCCAGGACAGAGAGTGGGCAAGAACGAGGGCATGGGGGAAGCCAGAAAGGCCCTGGGCAATGTGCCCAGAGTTTAGCATACCTGCTCCCACTACCGAGACTTGTCCAGCTGCAAGACTGACGTGACCTCTCTTTGCCGAGGATGCCTGCATTTCTAATCCCTGCACTGCAGACTTGTACAGCCCACAGGAAGGCATAACTGAATGACTCTTTCCAGCCCACACTTTTCTACCATGGGGTGAAGCAACAAGCAGGCAGTTCAGAGTCCTCTGCATAGAGGCGACACATGAGTCTAGCACCAGAAAAGTCTGTCATTTAAAGGTCACCCTGGCTGCTGTACAAGAAATGGACTGGAAGGGAAGGCATGGAAACTGGGTGGAAACCACTGCAGAAGCAGGTGAGGAAGGACGTGATAGTAGAGAGACGAGAGCTTTGGATAGATTAGAGCTGGTCTGCAGGGTTTCCTGATTCACCGGCTGTGGGGAGTGAGGAAGGGATCACTCCTGTGTTTGACTGGAGCAAAGGGTGGATTTCAAACTCTTTACTCTTTCCCATTGGTGATTTTCACATCATTCCCACGTTTAGAGGAAAAGCAACAGCTGTGGGACAGAACGGAAGGCTTATGAAGGAGGTTAGTGAAGAAAAAGTGGGAGAGGCAAGAAGAAGTGGAGACCCTTGATAGGAAGTGTGCTTCATCTGGAAAGCTGCTATAGTTCTAGAAAGATTAAAATGTCTACCATGTTCACAATTCAAGACTAGTTAGGAAACGACACTAGAAACAAAACGCAATAAAATACCATATCTTCTTAGTTCTGAGACACACATCTTTTTACATTTTAACATTCCTGAAGTCAAGATGTGTCTTACAACCGCTGATGGCTAAATGGCAGCTGCCCTATGGTTGTTACTACCCGTGCATGTGAGAACTTAGTCATGGATATCAGTACTGTCAGCATGTCGACAAAGTCACCGCGTGGTTGGTACCTCATGTATTGAGTCTAACTACCATATGACATGTCTTCAAAAAGACTATACTGTGATTAGCATTAAAAAAAATGACTGTGCATGCAGAAAAGTTCTGAAACAGAGTAGTGGGGAATATATTTGGCATTAAGAAAGCACCGTCAGCCGGGCTCGGTGGCTCAGCCTGTAATCCCTCGCCTTTATGTTTTGTTTTGTTTTGCTTTGTTTTTTTTATGTCGTCACTGACACTCTCATCAGCCATACAGGTTTTTAGAGTGTTCTGCTATTTATTGTGTGTGTTGGAGTCTCACTCTGTCGCCCATGCTGGAATGCAGTGGCACACTCACAGCCACCACAGCCTCAACCTGCTGGGCTCAGGCAATCATTCTGCCTCAGCCTTCCAAGTAGCTGGAACTACAGGCACGCACCACCATGCCCGACTCAATTTTTGATTATTGCAGAGATGAGGTCTCGCCATGTTGCCCAGGCAGGTCTCAAACCTATGGGCTCTGGCAACCTCTCGCCTCAGCCTCCAAAGTGCTGGAATTACAGGAGTGAGCCACAGCACCCGGCTGGTAGTGCTTTCTTGATGATAAGGTATCAACAGAAGGTTCCATATCTCTCAATAACAAAAATGTAGTACTGCTACATCTACTTTGAGTATCTTCTTTCTTAGGTCATGTAAAGCACTTGGTTGGTGCTTGCAAGAAACTATGGAATTATGATCATTTCCTCAAAGACAGACGGTGCTTTTTTTTTTTTTGAGTTGGAGTCTCACTCTGTCGCCCAAACTGGAATGCAGTGGCCGCTCCCGGCCACCGCAGCTCCGGTGATCCTTCCGCCTCAGCCTTCCAAGTAACCGGAATTACAGGCATGCGCTACCATGCCCGGCTAATTTTTTTTTATTTATTGTAGAGATGAGGTCTCGCTGCCCAGGCAGGTCTCAAACCCGCGGGTTCAGGCAATCCACTCACCTCAGCCACCCAAAGGCACGGGATTACAGGCTGAGCCACTGAGCCCGGTTCGTTTTTGTTTTTTTAGTTGGAGTCTCACTCTGATGCCTGGGCTGGAGTGCAGTGGTATGCTCACAGTCACAGTCACTGTTGGGCTCAGGCGATCCTTCCATCTCAGCCTTCCAAGTAGCTGGGACTACAGGTGTGTACCACCACAGCTGGCTAATTTTTTGATTTATTGTAGAAACAAGGTCTCATCATGTTGCCCAGGCTGGTCTCAAAACCCTGGGCTCAGGCAATCCTCTCGCCTCTGCCTTTCAAGGTGTTGGGATTACAGGTATGAGTCACTGCACCCGGCATATGTATTTTTCATATATGTACAGAGCTGTATATGATAAAAATCTATGTCTAAATAAGTACAAAACAATTATTTCAATTCAAGCACAGTTTAGCAGAATTTTTCTTTCTTACTAGTCCATGAAATAACAGTATCTTACTACAGATGGCATCTTAGGGTCAATGAAACATTGTGATAACCTACTGTGGTAGGAGAGGGAACGGACAGGAGAGAAGGTGATGGTTATGAGACTTTATGAAGGAAGATCATGGGACGTAACACACACCAGTCAGTCAACTATGGGAACAACTTATTTTCCAGGGCCTCTACTACTGAAATTCTGGGTTGAGCTATCTGTCCATGGAAATAACTCAGCCCAGCAAGAACTTATTAACTGAAAACACAGCAGTGTGCTAGATCTGGATTCGAAGAGGCGTAAAATCCTTTCATATGGAACTCAGCTCTTGGTTGCAAAGACATTTGTATATAACCTAGCTAAACACTGGAAGGCAGGCAGCTAATCAGCACGAGTAATTAAGTGACATCTGCTTTTAGAGATTACAGTTATCTATATCCTAACATCCAGCACTTTAGAGGAAAGCATAGAATTAAAATTATACCATCCATCTGAGCAACAAGGTACTGTTTGTTGGTATATACCTGGAAGAATGTATTTTAATCTCTGAATTTTCAATCCACAGATTAAATAAAAATAACAAGAATGGCTGAGCTATATAGGTCACTTAGCAAAATTAACCTTTGGCCTGTTTGTTTATGCCATGTAACAGAAGACCTGCACATACCTACCTGCAAGCTTCTTGAGAGTGACAGTATTAAAAATATTGAAGTAATGGACACCAAAAACTTTCCCCAGAGATTTGCAGACTTCTGTAAGTTCTCCAAGACATTTCTTAACCATCTCTTCCCTCTGAGAAACTTTTGCTACTAAAGCCTTTTGTTTTTTGATACTGCTGGAATTTTCTGTTTCCATAAAGTCTACCTTTGAAAGAGAGAAATAAATAATAGGAGTGGGTATATGTGCACGTGTGCCCACACAGCGGTGTAATTAATGCTTAACTGCATTTTTTCCAGGCTATTTCTATTCCACCAAGTAGACAGGGAGCCCCTTGGGGACAGGGATGTGCATTATCCACGCTTATATCTGGAGTGTCTAGCAGAGTAGCCTATTGATAAATGTTTCTTCAATGAAGATATAAAGATTCAGTGACCTGATAACCCATCAGATACATTTAAAAACAATTTTATTTATTTATTTATTTATTTATTTTTTGAGTTGGAGTCTCACTCTGTCACCCAAACTGGAGTGCAGTGGTCACTCCCAGCCACTGCAGCCTTGACCTGCTGGGTTTTGGTGATCCTTCCGCTGCAGTCTTCCAAGTAGCTGGAACTACAGACATGCGCTACCACGCCCGGCTAATTTTTGATTTATTGTAGAGATGAGGTCTCGAACCCTAGGGCTCAGGCAATCCATTCACTTCGGCCTCCCAAAGCGCTGGGATTACAGGCTTAGCCACCGAGCCCGGCCTTATCAGATCCATTTTGACAGGTGTTGCATTACTTGGGTTGAACTTTAAAATCTCTTTCTAAGCCGGGCTCGGTGGCTCAGCCTGTAATCCCGTGCCTTTGGGAGGCTGAGTTGAGTGG